CCGTTGCGGCCCTTCGTGGCCCCCCCGCTGCCCTTCGTGACCCCGTTGCGGCCCTTCGTGGCCTCCTCGCTGCCCTTCGTGGCCCCGTTGCAGCCCTTCGTGGCCCCCTCGATGCCCTTCGTGGCCTCGTTGCAGCCCCTCGTGGCCCACTCGCTGCCCTTCGTGGCCTCGTTGCAACCCTTCGTGGCCCCCTCGCTGCCCTTCGTGCCTCCATACATGTATGCATTTCGTGGCCCCCGCTCGTTCTTCGCGCCCGTCGTGGCCCCATATGCATGCCCTTCGTGGCCCCGTTGCAGCCCTTCGTTGCCCCCTCTCTGCCCTTCGTGGCCCCGTTGCTGCACTCAGTGGCCCCATCCTGGCCCTCCGCGGCCCACTGTACTCACGCCCTTTGTAGCCCCCGCTTGTTCGCGCCCGTCGTGGCCCGACACTTAGGCACCCAGGAGTCGCGCTCACGCTTGGGACCCCCTCACAGATTATCTAGGAATCGGGATCTCGCTGCCCTTGGTGGCCCCGTTGCAACCTTTCGTGGCCCCCTCGATGCCCTTCGTGGCCCCGTTGCAGCTCCTCGTGGCCCCCTCGCTGCCTTTCGTGGCCCCTTTGCAGCCTCTCATGGCCCTCTCGCAGCCCTTCGTGGCCCCGTTGCAGCCCTGCGTCGCCCCCTCGCTGCCCTTCGTGGCCCCGGTGCAGCCCTTCGTGGCCTCCTCGGTGCCCTTCGTGGCCTCGTTGCGGCCCTTCGTGGCCTCCTCGGCGCCCGTCGTGGCTCCGTTGCACCCTGTCGTGGCCCCGTTGCAGCCCTTCGTGCCCCCCCCGCTGCCTTTCGTAACCCCGTTGCACCCCTTCGTGGCCCCCTCGCTGCCCTTCGTGGCCTCGTTGCACCCCTTCGCGGCCCCCTCGCTGCCCTTCGTGGCCCCGTTGCTGCACTCAGAGGCCCCCATCGATACCCTTCGTGGCCCCGTTGCAGTCCCTCGTGGCCCCCTCGCTGCCTTTCGTGGCCCCATATGCAGCTCTTCGTGTTCTCCACGCTGCCCTTCGTGGCCCCGTTGCACCCCTGCGTGGCCGCCTCGCTGCCCGTCGTGGCTCCATATATGTATGCCTTTCGTGGCCCCCGTTCGTTCGCGCCCGTCGTGGCCCCATATGCATGCCTTTCGTGGCCCCGCTGTCGCCCTTCGTGGCCCCGCTGCTGCACTCAGAGGCCCCGTTCTTGCCCTCCGCGGCCCAATGTACGCACGCCCTTCGTGGCCCTCGCGCGTTCGCGCCCGTCGTGGCCTCGTGCGCATGCCATTCGTGGCCCCGCTCTCGCCCTTCGTGGCCCCCACGCTGTCCTACGTGGCCCAATTGCTGCCCTCAGTGGCCCCGTCGCTGCCTTCTGTGGCCCCGCATTATCAGCCCTTCGTGGCCCCCGCTCGTTCGCGCCCGTCGTGGCCCCATACGCATTCCCTTCGTGTCCCCGCTGTCGCCCTTCGTGGCCTCCTTCGTGGCCCTGCTGTCGTTTTCTCTCGCGCTCTCGCTTTCGCTCGTCGTCGTCGTCGTCGTCCTCGTCGTCGTCGTCGTCGTCGTCGTCGTCGTCGTCGTGGTCGGTCCCTTGTCCGTCCCTCTTGGGGTCGGGCTGCCGCCGTTCAGCGCTGCCGCTGGCCAGGCCGACGGTCCGCGGCCGCCCCGCCGCTTGCCGGGGCCCGACCTGCAGGGAAGAAGAACATTCCCTCCCAAAAGAGGCACGGTCGAAAACGAAGAGGGCGGGTATCGAGTTTTTTGGGAATACTCGTAAACGGACACTCGAGCGGATAAGAGCGAACAGTCTTAAACTGATTGTTTCTGTGTTGTTGTTGTTGCTGCTGTTGTTGTTGTTGTTGAACTCTCGTTGGTAAAAATTATTATTGCTGATCCCCCCGTCCGGTGCATACTGTACTTTTTCCATTGAAGTGCCCCTCCCGGGGCTCGCACTCTGTTTTTATCAAGGACAATATTGCTCCTCAAACTGTGCCTGGCCCCATGTTTTCAACAACAGCGGCTCCCGCTTGATATTTCCTCACAATTTACTCTGGTCCCCCGCTCCCTTTGGAGACTTCCTCGCAATTGACTCAAGAATCGCGCTCCCGCCCGAGACTTCTTCGCAATTTACTCAGGCGCCGCGCTCTTGCCATTCAGGAATCGCGCGTTCGCTGGAGACCTCCTCGAATGTAGCTGGGAATCTAGCTAATCACGCAGAACTCACGACTCAATATACACCCACCAAAAAGTGGCATGATCGAAGACGAAGAGGGGCAGGTATCGAGGGCTGGGGAAATGCATGCTGAATGACACTCGAGCAAACAAGAGAGAACAGTCTCAAAATGATGGCTGTTGTTGAATATTCATTTCAGAGAATGATTATTCTTGATCTTTGAAGACGGTTCCGCACGCTCTCGCCTCGACGAAGGCTACAATTTCTGTGAAAGCCATGCTCCCGCTCGAGCGCAGGCTTGAATGTAAATGCGTGCCCTTGGAGGCCCGGCTACGACGACGACGAGAACGGCTCCCGCTCGATACTTCCTCACACATTACCCCGAGACGCCCTGGCCACAGAATCGAGGCCCCCGAACTCAGGAACGGCGCATTCGCTCGAGAACTCCTCGCAAGTCAGCCAAGTTGGCGAAGGCCCAGCCACAACGACGAGGGCGCCTGTTCGATATTTCCACAGGATTTACTCCGAGAGCCCCTGGCCAGGAAAGCCTCCGAATTCAGGAATGGCGCTCTCGCTCCAGACTTTCTCGCGATTCAGCCAAATTGGTGGAGGCCCAACTACGACGAAAAGGGCTCTCGTTCGATGATTCCTCTAGATGTATTCGCAAAGGCCCTTGCCAGAGAGGCCCCCGAACTCGAGAGTGGAGCTGTCGCTCGAGGTTTTCCCGTAATGCAAGGAAGTTGGTGGAGGCCCAGACACGGCGACGAGGGTTCCCGTTCGATGTTGCCCTATCTGTATTCCGAGAACCCCCTGGCCTGGCCAACGATGCCCGCGAACTCAGGAACGGCACTGCCGCTCGAGAGTTCCTCGCACTTCAGTCAGTGACAGACAAGGAAGGTATTCCCCCCCGACAGGGGGTGCGATCGAAGACAAAGTGGGCAGGTATCGAGGGTTGGGGTATACAGAATGCAAAACACGCGTGCGAGTTAGAGCGAACAGTCATGAAATGATTGTTGTTGAGGGGTGTGCGAAACGTTTGGGCGTGAGCCTCCAGTTCAAAGAACATGCAGTTTGCGCAAAAGCGACGGGCGCCAGGGCGCCAGTAGGGGGTAGTCAGTTGACCCTTATGCGCCATGCTTCAACATGCCACCTGCGTCCATCATGGTAACCCCACCCCCTCTTGGTGGAACTACTTGACAAGGGGCCGGCCAATACTGCCACACCCAGATATCCCGCCAAGGAAGTCCAGCCAACACCCCTCCCGTGTCAATTCACAACTTTCAGCTCGCACGACACATAGAAAACTCAGTGCAACTTTGGGAAGCGGTGACGATTCGAAACACGAATGGATCGAGCCCCAGGAAAAGGGTAATCTATAGGAGCGTAAAAAAAAGCTAGGGATTCCAGCCCTGTCCGAGGGGCAGTCTGAAGGACCATACGAACAACATCGCTTCAGATCGATCCATTCACTTGTTACTCAGGACAGACGCTCTTGTTCGCAACCGAACCCTCGAACATAACCAGCGCTCCCGGTCGATACTTTTCTATTTGTTACTCAGGACCGGCGCTCTCGCCTCGGCGCTTCAAACGGCCCCCCTAAAACAACGACACTCCCATTCGATATGTCCCTATATGTACCCAGGACTGGCGCTCATGGTCGCCGCTGAAAATCGGAGAACAAAGCCAGCGCTCCCACTCGATCTTCTTTATTTTTATCTGCAGAAGTGGTGCTCACGCCTTGGCGCTGCAAAGCCCCCGCGCTATAATTCCTTGCATTTAACTCGGGAGTGACGTCTTGCTCCCGCCAAGGACCAGCCCTTCAACAAAACCAGCGCTTTCGCTCGATACTTCCTGTCTTTGTACTCAGGAGTGGTGCTCTCGCTTTGGCGCCTCAAACCAGCCCACCAGCCCAAGGACGATCACAACGTTCCTGCCCGACACCTCTGTACAATAGCAACGTTCCCGCTCGATACGTCCAAACTGAAGGTCGGAAAATGCATCGGTAGAGTTGGCTCGACCTCCTTGGTCGGGAGACCTGGAAGAGGGCATACTGGCCCCCATTTCCATGCAGTTCCCTCATGGGGGGAGCAATGCCGCCCTGTTCGTACAGTTATCATGGTGCCCCAGTGGCGTCATGATGGATGCATGTGAGATGTGGCAACTTGGCCCTTGAGGGTGTATCGATTGCTGTTTTTTGTTGTTATGTTCGTTTGTTGTTGTCGCCTTCGCACGCGGCCCGCCCGCAACCCACCCGCGACCCGCCCGCGGCCCAACCGCGACCCACCCACATAACGTTGAGAATCATTCGGCGCCTGCGGCCAGCTCATTGCTAATGTTAAAAAATGGGCGCCTGCGGTGGGCTTCTGCAAAGAGCCTCGCGGACTGCCGACCACCCCTCCGCAGCCTCACTCTTCTCCGCAACTGCGAAGGCGTGTCAGCAGTGGGGGTACGAGCGTACTGACTAGCTGCAACGCCGAGGTCAGCTCGCGTGACAAGAAGCCCCCTCTGAGGTACGCACTCGAAGGCACCGGTTTTCTGGATCGGCTCGGGGACGGCCCGAAGCGGCTCGGCAACTCACGCTGCGCTATATCGGGACATCGCGACCCGTGCGACCCGCACTGCTCCGCATGACTCCTCCCTCTCTGTCGTTCTCGTCGTCCATCCAGCCCGCCCTTCTTCCTCCTCGTGCTCCCCCTACCCCTCCCCTCCCTCCTCTGCACCCTCTTCTTCCCTTCTCTCCTCCTCCATCCTCCTGCTCATCGTCCTCCTCGTCCTCTTCATCCTCCTGTTTGTCTCCTCCTATTTGTCCTCGTGACGCTTTCAATGCCTGACGTCATTTTCACACGAGCGCCCTCATGATCGATTCAAGTACTCTCGGGTCCAACATATTCGTAGTGTGGCTGGACCCCCGAAGCACATGCCCCGTGTAATCAAGCCTCTCCTTCCATTCACAGCTTCGTGCTAGCGAGATCGGAGGAACTACACCGTCTCCGTCCAGATCGTAGACAACGCCACCCTTGAGAACGCTGCCACCTTTGGATAAATCGGAATCGGGCTTGAGCTCTGCCTCCATGTCTAATATGAAACGGCTGTTGATCTTGTTTCTGTCGCTGTTGATTCGCAAGACGCTCATGATTTCGGTCTCCACGTTCTGCCCATATATGCCCACAACTCGGTGAACAGGAGGCACATTCGCCGACCCCTTGGAGCTGCCCCAGCGTGTAAAGTAGTTGCCCCTCCTAGGGCCCCTGCACGGGAAGCCTGGACTTGTGGAATTGGAGGGGTTCCACCAGGAGATGCCGACGTACTCATCTGGCATAGAAAATTCCCAGGCGCGCCGACATTGTCAAAGAAAGCTTGAAGAGGACCCACAAGTGCTCCGGGACAGCCCAAACTAGGTCCAAGAGCATCCCACCCAGAGGCTCCAAAGACGGCCCAAGAAAGCGCCAGGAGGACCCCCAAGAGCGCGCCCAAGAAGCAACAAGAACACATTGCCCTTATCCAATGTCGTTGCCAATGCGTTCTTGACGCGCCGTGCTCGCCTGTGCGATCGTCAAGTTGTGTAAGACATCCCGTGAGGCCCCCAAGAACAACCCCCCAAGACAACCGGAAAGGCCCTCAAGAGGACCCCAAACCGGCCCAATAAGGTCCCACGATTCCAAGATTACCCACATGCTCCCGAGACTGCTGAGCAGACCAGGACCCCCCTCTCAAGATGGTCCATGTCCTTCCAACACGCCTCCAGGAAAACCCCCACGAGTCCCCCAAGAGGTCCCGAAGGGCTTCGAGAGGCCCCAAAATGGCCAAACCCAGCTCCTTTCGAGCACTGTTTTGGACTACTCAGATGGGGGCGTGCTGCGAGGACTCTTCCAAGACAACGCCCCTCCCGCCAGATGAGAGGCACCCAGGGCTCCGAAGGGGTCGGCGGCGCGGCGCAAGCCCATGAATCGTCTTCGCCTGCATCGTTGTAGAAAGGGTCGCCATGATAGTATTGCTTCCACACTTCCAGGACGCGGTGGCACTTCGAGAGCTTCAACATATCCATCATGCTCACCGCATCGTAGACCTCCATCTTCGGCCGCTTGCTGTGCTGAACCTGGACAAGGTTCTCCGACTCCCGTCGCGCGGTCGCCCTGGACTTGAAACATTCGAGGAGTGGCCGCGACAAGCCCGTGCGCGTGCGCTGCTTGGCGGTTGGTTCGCCAAGCCTGCTCGGGGCATCCCTGGATTGGCTGGGCGGGGCAGAGCCTGCCCACTCCTTCCACAGCGCCTCTCTGCTGCGCCAGCGCATCTCAAAGGATACCGAGCCCTTGCCGAAACAGTCGAAGATCCCACTCCTCAAGGGCAACTCAATATTGACGCACGCTTTTCCGCTGGGCTCGTTGGGTAGCAAGGTAGAGAGCTTCACCGTGGCGGTGGAAAAGACAGGGGTGCCCGCGTACTCTCGACCTTGCGCTTTTCCCACAATCGAACAGGACATGCATTTGAGAAAACTGAGCGCGCGCCTGGCCACGTGACAAAGAGCACCGACCAATCGGCACAAGACTTGGCACCAGCCGCAAAAGCAGACGAACCAAAGGCAGGAACGCAGCACTCCACAGACGCCTCTGCTCCAGCACTCGGTGAGGGCTGCCTGCACATCTGGCAAGGTGCCGTCGGGGCCCTCAAAGAGTGCCAGCTTGTTCACAACAATCTTGATCGTCGCATCGGGTGGTAATTCTGGGGGCCCCCCAACGCGCAAGAAACTAGTTTTGTTCTCCTTGCTGAAGAAGCATTGCTTGCCAATGATCTGGTCGCAGGGTCCTGAAGTAACCACAGCGGCTCCATTGCCTCTGCCCCAGCTGATCTCAAACGTGATGGTGAAGGTGTAGCCCGGCTTGACGGCGCGCCCGTCCAAATCTAACTTGGACACCTTGGCATCTATAGCTCCCTCGCGGCGCACGTAGAATAGATGCTGGGCGTGAGCTCCAATAGGAAAAAGCCACGGCAAGCTGCCAAGGGAACGAAAAAGGTAGAGCAGCTCATTCTGGGAGAAGAGAGCCGTTATCCCTGGGTAAGGGGAGTCACCGACGATTGCCATGCGGCCTGTGTAGGCTGCTCCAAGGGTTGGTGCACCTACCATGATCCAAGTGTGAATGTGCTGATCTAGCCACTGCTGTCCGCTTGCCGGTTCCGACTCCTTCATCATATTGAGGAAGTACTGCACAACCTTGTTCCCCATTGAGTGGGCTAGGATGATGACGCCCTTCTTTTGCGGAGAATCCCGATTGAGACGCTCGACTAAATCTCGGAGGGAATCGAAGTAGCCACGCCTCCGAAGGGTCCCTGGCGCGAGTCGCCAATCGTAGGGGGCACCTTCCAGTGTGACGCTCTTCACATAACCAGCCTTGCACAGCGCCTTGATGATTCCCTCGTAAATGACTGTGCCCTTTGCGTAGCCCGTCTCCCCCGGCGAACATCGGTCATCACACAAATTCAGTCCCGATACGCCCGCGCAAGCTTTGATTCTGACACCGCGAGCATCCTCCTCAGGATCCTCGCCGAGCACGAAGTGGCGGAGCAACTCGTTCTGGAGCACGTTGCCGTGCTCGGAATCCTCGCCCGCCCAGGTAGCTTTCCGCTTCAGCACGGACCCGCCGACGCTGGAGATGTCTGGGAGCCACATCCGTCGCCCCGCCCAATGAGGGCAATTCTCGCTGGCAAGGCCTGGGGGTTCGCACAGGCAGCCTGCGACGTCCCCGACTGGCCGAACGGGCGCCCCTCCGGGGCGTGGAGCGCACGAGGGGTGCCGCCGGAGGCGGCCTGGCCCTGGGGTGTTGCGACTGCCTTGGACCGATCACTCGGGGGGGGGGCAAATCTTGCAACCCAGTGCAATGTGTGACACTCCCAGGGCCCGAAACGGGATTCCGGCGGCCAATCTAGCGAACTGAACTACAGTCGTCGCGCTACCATAAGGGTCACTGAAGAAGGAACGAAAAGCTTTTCCGGCTGCGCCGAGCCTCAGACACGAATAGGCTCCAGACCTAGGCCTAAGGAACGGCTCGAAAACGAGAGCCGGTCCTGAACCCAAAGTGGCCCGTATTTCAGCGGCTTTCCTTGCCTCCATGGGGCTGTCTGTGCGCAGCCCTACGCATTGCCAGTGCTCGCTGCTCTCCACTGTGAGCGCAGATCCCAGGATGCCGGGCACGATCACCACGGGCAGCAGGGAAGGCGGAGGCGGTCCTTCCATGGCCGCCGGCCCTTCCCTGCTGGAGCGCGCGGGGCCGCCGAAATGCCTCGAGGGTCAGGGCCGTCTCTAAGGACTCGTGCGGCTACCTGAGGATGGAGTCGACACTGTGTCAGCCAGAGTGGCTTGAGCCAGCCTGGCTGCGGAGGGGGGGGGGAGGGGGGGGAGGAGGAGGGAACACACTGACGGGGAGGGAGCGGGAGGATCCACTGTCCCTTCTATTTCTCTGTCATGTCTTCGCCTTCCTCATCAGCTCTCGACTCTGCAGGGGTCTGTCCTCCTCATCAACTCTTGTGTCTGTGGGGGGCGGCTATGGCGGGGGCAGTGGGTGAGGAATCACAGGGTCAAGGATCCACAAGAAAGAGGAAAGAAGACACAATAGCGAAGAAGCGGAGGTGGAGGTAGAATAACAGTGCAGGAGGGAGACGATGTAGAAAGAGACGGAGGGACCGAGAAGAGGAAATGGACAAGGAGAAAGACGAGGAAAAGCACAGACAACAACGGAGAAACAACGACCCATTGTTGCGCGGCACGACAACGCGTCATTCTCCGCAGAGCCCTCTTCTTGATGACAATCATGATCCTCCTTCCCCTTATCCCCCCCCCGCCCTCCGACTGCTGCCCAATCGCCCTTCTCCTTCAATCGCCCCGCTCTCCGCATCTCTCCCTCCTCCCCTTTTCCCATCCTCCCCCGGCCCATCCCCTCAAACCGCTGTAGGGTCAAGCTTCTTGAGGAAAACCTGCACACACGCTCGCATAGCGTAGCCAGATTGAACCCGAGTAGGAAAATACGCAGGGAACACATTGCTTGACATTGTTGTGATTTGCTTGGCAGTGCGTTGCAAGCGCTTGCTTGGTGTTTCATGACATTGCTTTGCACTGCGTTGAGTTCCTTGGCGTTTTCGTTGCGCTGTTTCGTGTTGCGCCACATTGCTTGAAATTGCTTGGCATTGCCTGGCATGGCTTGGTATTGCTTGCCTTGCACATGTATTGTTCCCCACATCCTAAGTGGGGTTCTTGTTTTCTCTGGACGGCCGCGGGCCACACACCCACACACACCCACACCCAGTCACACACACACAATGATCATCATCCTCGGGCATTCCATGCGAGCCCGCTCGCGCGGAAGGGAACTCCAACGGCTATCGGCATCAGCGAGCCCGCTCGAACGGAATGACCCTCAGGGTCATTCCATGCGAGCCCGCTCGCGCGGAAGGGACCCCCCCTGTGGCCCCTAGGGGGTCCCACCTAAAACATGGAATTCCAACGGCTATCGGAATCAGCGAGCCCGCTCGAACGGAATGACCCTCAGGGGCATTCCATGCGAGCCCGCTCGCGCGGAAGGGACCCCCCCTGTGGCGCCTAGGGGGTCCCACCTAAAACATGGAATTCCAACGGCTATCGGAATCAGCGAGCCCGCTCGAACGGAATGACCCTCAGGGGCATTCCATGCGAGCCCGCTCGCGCGGAAGGGACCCCCCCCTGTTGCCCCTAGGGGGTCCCACCTAAAACATGGAATTCCAACGGCTATCGGAATCAGCGAGCCCGCTCGAACGGAATGACCCTCAGGGGCATTCCATGCGAGCCCGCTCGCGTGGAACGGACCCCCCCTGTGGCGCCTAGGGGGTCCCACCTAAAACATGGAATTCCAACGGCTATCGGAATCAGCGAGCCCGCTCGAACGGAATGCCCCTCAGGGGCAGTCCATGCGAGCCCGCTCGCGCGGAAGGGACCTCCCCTGTGGCCCCTAAGGGGTCCCACCTAAAAAATTGGAACTCCAACGGCTATCGGAATCAGCGAGCCCGCTCGAACGGAATGCCCCTCAGGGGCATTCCATGCGAGCCCGCTCGCGCGGAAGGGACCTCCCCTGTGGCCCCTAGGGGGTCCCACCTAAAATTTGGAATTCCAGCGGCTATCGGAATCAGCGAGCCCGCTCGAACGGAATGACCCTCAGGGGCATTCCATGCGAGCCCGCTCGCGCGGAAGGGGTGGCCCCTAGGGGGTCCCACCTAAAAAATGGAATTCCAACGGCTATCGGAATCATCGAGCCCGCTCGAACGGAATGACCCTCAGGGGCATTCCATGCGAGCCCGCTCGCGCGAGGAGGGGAGAAGGAGGAGGGGGGGGGAGAAGGAGGAGGGGGAGGAGAAGGAGGAGGAGGAGGAGGAGGAGGAGGAGGAGGAGGAGGAGGAGTAGGGAGGAGGTGGAGGAGGGGGAGGAGGAGGGGGAAAGGAGGAGGAGAAGGGGAGGGGGATGTCAACCGCGGTGCCTTCAGGAGGAGATGGTTGAAATGGACGTTTGTCGAGGAGGACGTGGAGGAGGAGAGGAGAGACGGAAGGAGGGGGAAGGAGGGGTGGGTGGGAGAGGAGGGGGGAGGAGGAGAGGAGGAGGGGAGAGGAGGAGGGGAGGAGTGGAGGAAGAGGAGGGAGGAGGAGGAGGGAGGAGGAGGAGGAGGAGGAGGAGGAGGAGGAGGAGGAGAGAGGGGAGGAGGGAGGAGGGAGGAGGAGAGGAGGAGGAGGAGGAGGAGGGGGGGAGGAGGGGGGGGGGGGGGGGGGGGGGAGGAGCAGGACGAATGGGGAGGAGAGAGGGGGAGGGAGGAGGATGAGGAGGAGGAGGTGGAGGAGGAGCAGCAGCAACGTCAGCAGGAGCAGCATCATTCTGATAGTGTACACAGTCCATACAAAACTAGGTTTTCATGCGGGGTCCATCCGTTGGAGTAATTATGTATTGCTTGACGATGTCCGGCATTGTGTAGCAAGTCTCTGCCCTTTGGCATTCCTTGGCGTTGCTTAGCACTAATGTGCATAGATTGGCGTTGCTTTGCGTTGCGTGGCGTTGCTTTGCATTGCCTGGCATTGCCTCCCATATTACCGTGCATCTCCTCTAGGACCTGGATGAACCCACAATCTCCTCGAACTTCTGTTGCGCATAGCCAGTGTTCGGCGAATGGCGCTGTGTCGGCGCAGCGTCGGTGCTCAAAGCTCTGGCAGCTCGCGCCTACCCGCCCGCGCGTCATCGCGCAGCAATAGTGCCATGCGGCGCAAACCGAACACGAGGACACAGCCACACCGTGGCTGGCTGGGCACAAAATGGAAGTGGAGGTGCTGCGAATGGGGAGTATCCCAGGGCGCAGGTCTTCCCATATTACCATGAATCTCCTATTGGGTCCTGATGAGTTCGCAAAATCCTCGAGCTTCTGTTGCGGCTGGACGGTGCTCGGCGCATGGCGCTGCGCTGGCGCGGCATCGGCGCTCGCCGCTCGGGCAGATCGCACCGACGAGCCAGCGCGCAGCACTCGTGCCATGCAGTGCTGAACGAGTGCGAGGACACGGCTACTCCAGATTTCGTAATAAAAGGGAGGGGGTCTGGACCCTCCAAGAGAAGCCATTTCAGACCTCCACCGTGGGAGAACCATCCAAAACATCGTCCCCAGACCCCCCAGGCCCTCCAGGATAGCCTGGAAGAGACCCCCCCCCCCGAAATGAGACCCCCCTCCCTTTATTACGAAATCTGGAGCATGCATCCCAAAAATTCGGCCTCAGGGCGCCCATGGCCAAGCTCGCCCCTGCCAGCCACTTGCGTCTTCCAAATGGCACAGGATGGCCAGAGGGGCGCGGCCGCCCCGCGACGACCGAGGGCGGGGGGGCGAACGCCCTCGCTCCAGGACGTCCGAGGGTGGAGGGGCGAGGGGGCGCCGCTAGCTCCGATGTGAGGGGCAACCCCGGTTCGGCCAAGCGCGGCGCATAACTCGCGCGCTCCAGCTGGGATTGCATCTTGCACAGGCCGGCGGGGGGGGGCCTGGCCTGGAGAAGAGCGCGCGCTTCATCGGTCTAACCAAACTCTTGCTTTTGTGAGATTGATCCACTGGCCAATCGAAGGCGTAGATCAGAAGACCTCTGAGAGGCGTGAATGGCGCCTCCCCTGCGCAGGGAATCCAACCTTAATGGTGCGTTCAGAGTGCCCAGTGCTGGATGCAAATCTTCGAGCCGCCGCCTGAATTGAGGCGCGCCTCCTTGGCGCAGCAGCGCAATTTCTGATCGCCCCGCAGCCGCCAAACCGAAGAGGAAAAACTTGAATTCGCCCCAGCGAACTGCCCTTTCCCGGATATTCCTGCGCTTGCCACCCTTGGGAACCCCAGTAGATCACCAGTCCCGAGCCCCCATCTGTCCAGTTAGAATCCGTCGAATGCTCCTGGGGATTATTTCGCATGGCCGTGAATCTGCGACGAAGGCGGTCCCAATGATTGAAGCGAGGTGGGAATCACGTTCGTCCTGCGTTTCCTCCGTTATAGCCCTGGCCGCCGTGGTGTCGAAAGGCCACTCCTCGTGGGCTCCTCGCGCGATGCCTGCGACCTGCAGCACTGCCGCGCCTCGTCCAGGTTCGCCTGGGGCGAGGCGCCAAGCGCTGCAAGCCGCAGATCGCGATGGCTGCCCGTTGCCTGGGCCCCCATCTGCCCCATAAGTATGCGCCCCAAATATTCAAAAAGGAGCTCGTCCAGGTCTTCTGTGGAGCATGGTACTACCTCTTAGCCCTCCCCATCGAGCCATTAGAAGACAAATTTGACTTCCCGCTTGAACG